ATATTTTTATGCAACTATTCATTTTAAGAATAGGCAGATGGGAACTAATTGTTCAAAGATGCCCGCTTTCTTAAACATACATTTCGCGTCTTGTACATTGTAATTTTTTAATTTATTTTTTTTTTACAGAATCCGTTCATTTCGAATTCTTACGCATGCCATTCGGTCTAAAAAATGCACCAAGCACATTTCAAATAGTGATGAATAATATTCTCCCTGGACTTACGAATGATATCATTGCCTTTGGTTACAAGAGCACAACGAAAGACTCGTAAACGCATTAAATCGATTAAGAAGCCACAATTTAAATATACAACACGACAAATATGAATTCTTCAGAAAGGAAATTTAGTATCTAGGACATCTAATCATACCCAACCCTGACAAGGTAGCAGCATTACTCTGCCTAAACCAAAAGCAAAGCCGTGCAGTTTCAAGGCTCACCGGCTATTATAGCTCGCAAAACCTCTCACTACGTTCCTGAAAAAGGACTCCCCATTTATATTCGATAACGAATGCATACCATTGTTTGAAATACCAAAAAGCTACTTTACCAGCGAACATCTTACAATATTCAAACTTCGATGAGGAATCTCTACTCACCACTGACGCCTCAGGCTACGCATCCGCGCCATTCTGTCTTTGAGCCCCATAGGAAAAACCTACTTTTTGTTTACGCATCAAGAACACTTAATGGAGCTATGACCAGGTACTCAACAATAGAGAGGGATCGCCTAACTATTGTATGGAGTTGCAAACACTTTCGACTGCACCCCTTCGGTAGGAAGTTCAAAATCGTCACAGATCACCGACCCCTCGCCTGGCTTTTTAGCATAAAAGATACCGGTAATCGCCTAGCCAGATGGCAATTCAATTTAGAGGAATATAATTATGAAATAGTACACAAGAAAGCAAGCTAAAATAAAAATGCTGACGCTTTGTCTCCGAGTATAGACCAATATTATAACAACCTTTGAATGAAGTGAGACAATCAAAATTGAAAGTTGAAACTGTTAAAGAAGTCATCGTACCCAATGGCCCTATGATTTTTATCGACAACGACGAAGATCAGTTTCTGAATACAATAAAACGCGATGGAGAAAGGAATACTACAGAAGATATACTTAATAATGTACCCAGTAAAAACTTTAAAGATCTGAAATATTATCCTATCGAATGTCTGGAAGATGAAAAAATTTTCAATAAACTTTTAATTATACTTAACGTTTGTAATGTAATAAACACAGACATATTTATTGTTAATCCTTCAAATAAAGTAGACTTCAACAAATTAGCAGTGTTCATTAAGTTCAACTTCAACGTAACAAATTCAATTAAAATACTAACGAAATATTTTAACCCGCTCAACAAGGACGAAATAAATGAAATTATAAAAACAAAAATCATGATCCCCCTGTATTTGACAAGAATGATATCCATGAATATGTCGATGACTGTGTGATCTGCCACAAAGCAAAGAACGTTCGCAGATCTTACGAAAGCCCTGTGACACTCCGCAAAGACCCTTTGGAAGAGTAGACAAGCGGAACTTACGCCTTCTAACCATAGACAAAACGGTTTAAAACGGTCACGAACGCGCTAATTTAATTCATCCAAACTTTTGAAATAACAGACCGAATTCATTAGGACCAGAATGGTGGTGAATTTCTTAACAACACTCCAGAATCTAGAATAGCTCCTAAAAATGGACCATACGTTTAACGAAAGCTGCTACCCCAAGAGTAACAAACTAGAACCAATCTCGAGAAGTTTAAAGAGAAAGTGAAGGACAGACACGACAAAAACATTAGACCACTCCCGAACTATAAAGTCGGTGACCAAATTTTACTCAAGAAAACACGAATGA